CCTCCCTCCCTCCCTCCCTCCCTCCCTCCATTTCACAGCATTCATATAATTAGCCTCTTAGTTTAAGCCACTTAATTTGTACCATATTCAGCTTCCAATTTACATTTGGGGGGGTTAATATTACCCAGAGATTATTTTATACCGTTGTTAATAATACTAAAAAAAAACAAAACTGGGATGAACCTGGCACCTCTCTCCTGTTTTTCCTGGAGGGAGTCACACACTTACCTGCGGGACAAGAAAGTGACTCAAAATATAAGCCACGGTGACCGCCGCCGGGGACGAATCCGGACCGATCACAGCTATGACCCTCGGGCGGTACGAAGTGTAATTCCTCTGGATTTGGATGGTGGACCGGTTGTCGGCGAGGAAATACAGGACGGGGTGGACGGTGTTGGCGAGGTAACAGTTGTCGATCATTTCGTACCCCAGCCGGACCCCCGGCAAGAGGCTGGGGGAGTTGTTGATCTCCTCCACTGCAAACCGCATAGCTTGGAAGTAGCTGTAGCCGGCCATTTTCAGGTTGTACCTGTGAAAGGTGGGCAAGACAGAAGGTAGGGCAGGCCTGGCCAAAAGCTTTCTGGCCCATCGTGCTGTTCCCACCCACTCTGGTTTCAGTCCTGGGAGGGGGCGGCCTCTGTTCCTGGAGAAGCTTCCCCAATTCAGAGCAGCTGAACCAAAGCATGGCGGTGTTCGATTCTCCTTTCAGGCCGTCCTCAGTGTCTCCTCCCTCTGCTACTTACTGTTCACAGACGGGCACCTGGGGGTCCCGGGGGGGAGAGATGCCCTCCACTTCCGCGTGCAGGGAGAAGAGACCCCCCAGAATATAATCTCCTGCTAAGTGGAAGTGAGAAGAAGGCGTGCTGGCAATGGAAACAGAAATGCTGAGAAAGGCGCCCACCGCAGTGGCAAGCGCCATGGTCTTCCTCGGGCAGCTGGTGGGTATGAAAACTTTCCTCCGTGCTTCAGCTGACGTCCCTTTCACCTGGCCCTTTGCATAGATGCCCAGGGCCAACTCATTTGCACGCATTTCCATGCCTCTTCCGGTGCTTCGGAGCCCGTGGGGCCCGACAACCATCAGCTCTACAAAATTTCTGGGGCCTTGCTCAGGCTCCACGCAGAGAGCCACGATTCTTCCTTTTAAAAGCGTGCGTGGTTCTGAGTCCAAAGCTGGCTTAAAATAGCCTTGAGCTTAGGACAGTCCATGCTGCCCAAAATCTGAGGCAGTCTCCCCGGTCTTTTGCAAAGGTGCCAGGGGTCTGCTGTAATTGGGCTGGCGAAGATGAAACCCGAGCTGACTTGCAGAAACTTCGTGGACCCCTTCCGGTGGTTTTGCCGGCCACAACAGGGAAGGATTTGGCCCAGCCTGGACGAGGGTCCCGAGGTTTCCTCAGAATTTCCCAAATTGCTTAGCTGAGACTAGAAACAGTCGAGCATCAATGCTAGAAGATGAATACTCACTTCTAGCCAGGTCCTGTGGGGTGGGGGAACCTGGCCGTCCCACCCTCACCAACAGGCTGCTGCACTAAGGTGGATTTTTGGCCTGAACCCCGGAAGGGGCACAACAGGGCTTGTGCCACCTCGAGAACACAACGACGAAAAGCAAAACACGGAATTTCACCTGGCCGGGAAACAAGTCAATAAACCAGAATGGCTTCATCTCCCGGCTCTGATTGATTTCTCCATGCAAAGCGTTGGTTTTCGCAGCCAAATGAGGTTTAGCCTCAGGTTTGCATCTCAACAGCCCGTTTTGCATCCAGCCCGTCAGACGGGCTGCCGGCTCCCCCGTCCGAGCCGCACCAGATACGCCGCAAAGCCAGTTTGGGATTGGCGCGAAGAGGGAACTTTGCCACCCCAACCTCTTAGGCTGGTGGTCTGCACTCTCTTTGGCCAATTGGCGGCCCTTCAAAAACATCCATGCCACAGCGACGGGTACATTTCGTGACTCCTGAGTGTCAGAGACCTTTTCAGTCCTGAGTTAGAGGATTACCAGCCCGAGATGCTGGGTGAATGCGCCAAACTACCAGCTGGGCAAAAGGCACAGGATGGCCCTGATCCGTTTCCAATGAATACACTTCATTCCTGTGCACGTTACGCTTTCAGAGAGAATCTGGCCACCTCCTTAACTGGAAAAACACACTTCAGACTGCTCTTTTTTTCAGAAAGCTTTATTAAGTCTTCTCCTGACACATTATCAGCGTTCCAATCAACCAAATTCACTTCCACCCACCTACGGAGCCATTTAAACTCGGATGGCCATACAGACGTTGGCTCTCCGTGCGCCACCAAGCCAGGAATTGTGACGCTGATTGCAACCCAAGTGAGCTCAAACTTGGTAGCGTCCCCACGTGTTGGAGGGGCAACCCTGTCTGGGAAAGATGGGAGCTCTAATCTAGCCAGCACCAGATCGGGGAGGATTGATTTAGCTAGCTAGCTAGCTATTTTCCCCCTTTTTCGAAGTGCATCCAGTGTTGAGACCTTTTTGTGATACAATCGTCAGCCGTTGCAGTTCTGCTCTGTTTTCTCTGAGCGTTAATCACAGTTTAGTAAGCATCTGCTTAAGGGAAGGAAGGCAGCCTTTTTGGGCAGGAAAAATAAGAGCAGACTTTGAAGCATTTCTATCCATACAGGGACACTCTACTTTGATGGAAATGCAGTGTGGATAGGCCAGGAAGACTGGAAATGTAGATCTGGCTGGGCAGGAAATTATTAAAACGTGAGTCTGAATATCTGGACCAGAAATCAAAACCATTATCCGAAAAAAAAAACAAAAAAAGGATAAGTAAGATCTGAGTTAAGAATTAATGGAGTAGAACCAAGTTGGTTTACATCTGCTTAAGCTGTTCGTTATAAATCAATTTTCAAAGACACGCTACAAGGGCTGAAATGTTAGTCAGCGAAATAGGGATAAGCAAACGATGCAACCATGATTGTGGATATTTTTGTAAGTTTTAAGCCCTTTAAGATACTGCAAATTAGTTGCTCGTCAGCTGTTCCTCGATCATTCAGTTTCGTACACTTAATTTTTCCTATCGATTTATTCTTCTGTCCCTTGATTTTAGAGCTTTCGCAGAGAATCAGCCTGGCTTAGTTTGCAAGCTGCCAAGAGGCCTCCTTTAAAGCATTACCCGTCCCCGATTTGAGCGTTCGAATCTACAAAAATACATCTTTTAAAAAGAACCAGCGTCCCATCTGGAGGGTGGTTGCCACAGAAGCGAAACATTTCAACAAAAATCTCAACCAAGATTCCTTAGGATCTGCAAGAAGAAAGTTTATAGGAGTGGGTTTAGTTCAGTTTTTCCTACATGCTGATTTGACACACGACGCTCCCAATTTTCTCTGGACGTGGGTCCGCCTTTGCCGTTCTGCTGTTTCTTTAATGGAAGAGATTCACCACGCTGCTTTCGGTACAAGTCGCTTCTTCCCTGCCCTCCGATGGAAGGGGCAAAATTTTATTAGAAACAGGTACAAAAGCTGATGAACGCGCGTTAAGAGTGTTCAGCAGCAAAGCTTCTCTTTAGAAAGGCACAAGCTTTTAACACGTGGCTGTACTAAAATGGAGGAATCGTTTTGGATTTTCAGTAGGAAGCTATTTTTTTTTAAGGCAAACGTTACTCTTAATTCCCCGGAGTGGTGGTGAAGGAAATCAATTCAGCGATTTTGTGCCTTAGGAGGGATCGGCAAGGACGGCCGCTGAAGAGAACGCCGGTCCGGCGCGGCAACGGTGGCAGTTTCGATGCGAAAGGCCGCTTAAGCCGCATCACTGCATGTATGGGTATTTCCAGTCCCCCAACGGCTCGTGAGTCTCCTTGACCGCCTGGGGAGATGTCCAGCGCAGGATGTAATGAGAGCCGCCCGGCTTGTCATTGGTTCCTATTTCCAAAAGAAGAAAGGAATGCAGTGCTCTGCAACCAAAAATTCCAAGTCGCTAGACCTCATTGTCCCATGGAAACACAGGCTCAGTTCTCACATCTTGCTAGGCCGTTACGTGGTTGCGAGAACCTGGCCGCTGGGCTCGTCTCGCCTCGTTCAGACCCAGCCAAGCAGCGAGCCGGGGTGCCATGATTTGGGCGACGCGCGATGTGCAGAGAAGGCGGCAGCGTTCAACAAAGGCTCCCTTGTTTGTTTCAACAAACCACAACTAGGTATAGTGGTTAATAAATATAGCAAGTTATTGTGTCTGCACTTCAGCTTGGGAGCCACTGGCCAGAATGGGGAACAAAGTTTAATAGTAACAATAACGATAATGTTGATGATGATAACAATAACTCCAAACGCATTTTTTCAGACAGCGCTCCGAATGTTTGCAGAACAGGCCAGGCCATAAGCAGGCCCCTCTCCCCCACCTGACCCCCACATACCTGAGGCACGAGAACCCCCAAATGGCTGCTGGGCCACAACGGCACCGGTGGACTTATCGTTGATGTAGAAATTCCCGGCCGCGTTCCTTAGGAGTTTGGTGGCTTCGGCAATGACAGCCCTGAGAGAAGATGTGGGGGGGGGGAGAGGTCAGACCTTCAAGCGAGAGGGGGCCACTAGATATGCACAAGTATTTTAGGGACCCTCCCCAAAGATTTAGGGCCTCCTGTTCCCCAGGGTCCTAAGATATACTACCCCTGACCAAGGGGTTTCATTAGGGCTGGTGGGTTGTGGCAATCACAAGACTGAGGACTGGGGTCTTCTGGCCCGCTGAAATTGAAATTGGGGGATCCCTGCCAAGCGATCTGGGAGAAGATTAAGAACATCTGAGCCTGTGTCTTACATGCAATATGACCCATTACCCCCAAATTCCCCAAGCGCTGCTGGTGTGAGCCCCAGACCCAGATATCTGAAAATAACAATTTGCAGCCGCTGCTGATTCGAGCAGGGGGAGGCCCGAGATGCCCCAGTTCTTACTTATCCTGGGCAAACACCGCCCCTGTGAGGCCGTACGGAGAGGTGCCGTCAATCAGGTGGAGAATATCCTTGTACTGCTTCTCCGGATAGACGTATACCGAGAGAACTGGCCCAAAAATTTCCTGCCCACAGGGAAAAAGAGAAAATAAACCAAAATTAAGGGCTGGTGCATCTGCGAAAATCACGTTACCAAGGTCTGTCTATTTCTGTAAACTTTTGGGGCACCTTGGCTAGGAACACTAGCGAGTCAAAAGTGAGGGAGCCAGTATTTCTCTGGAGATGTCTGAACTACATTTCCCAGCATTCCTCACTACAGGTTGTGCAGGATGCTGGGAGTTCTGGAGGGGGCCCGCGAAGTCCTTGCTGGGCGTAAAACTAAAACAGCCACCCCAAGAGTTTTTGCAATGGTCACAGATATTTTAAACTGCTTGCAGAAGGGTGCAAAGATGGAGGTTCGGCCTCGTAGGGAACAGGCAAGGATGGTGGGAGGTATTTAGCGTTTTCCCAAGGAACTCCTGTTGGTGCCCCGTCCCGGCAAAGACTCACCTCTTGCATGATGGGATCCTTCGGGTCTTTCGTCTCAACAACGCACGGCTGGACAAAATAGCCCACTGCGTCGTCGCAGCCACCCCCAGCCAGGATGCTCAGATTGGGTGAAGATTTGGCATGCTCAAGCCACCTCTTGATGCGCCCGAAAGCCTGGAAGACACAGCGGCAGAAAGAGGGCAATGATGCCCGTGTAATGACGGACTGAGCTCTAGATGTGCCCGGCACGCAGCCAGGCACACATCTCAGAACAAGATGCCTCCAGGATCTGCTGGAAAATGCAATGGCCCAGAGGCCTGGATGGGGATGAATGCATCTTAGGTGCACCAGGGCGGAATAAAGGGCAGAGCTACCACACTGGAGGAAGGGACGGACAGCATAAAAGGAGCCTTATAAACATGGCTTTAAAGATAAGTCTTGTTTTTCTACTTTGCTCCAATGAAGAGAAGCCAAAGGCCTCAGTTCTTGAGAGGCAGAGCAGAGAGAAGGGACGGGACGGATGCCACGGAAGAGGAGGCAGGGGACCCAGGCAGACTGGGGGCAAAAGAGTGGCCACACAATGTGGGTGAGGCCATGGGGCGGGGGGGAAGCAGGTTGGAGTCTTGGCTGACGGCCCCGTGGAAGTGGCCTTTTTAAGAAACAAAACCACCCACGTTGCACGCAAGGCGGCTGAGCCAACTCTCCCCCTGCCTCGCACTTCAAAGCTTTGAAAAATAACCCACCTGTGACCCGAATCCCTAACTTTCCACGGGGTTGGTCAATGCTCCCTGGCTGTGAAGAGCTCGGCACGCAAAGGGCCTGCTCCACCTCAGCCAGCCACTGAACGTGCCAGAGCATTAAACACACTAAAGACTGTGCCATTCTTGGGTTTCGGGACAACTGACTTGCTCATCTTGACTGTCTGGGTTTTATTAGCACCGACATTTTTGTGGGGGCCACTAGGGACAAAGTACTTCTTAAAACACACACACACACACACACACACACACAGAGGTTTGTCCTAGGTGTGAGTTCGTGCATGCAAATGTCAAAGTGTAAAAATCCTGCCTGTGAAAAATGAAAGCTGGTTTACATATGTAAGTAAGAAGGCGATCTGACCTTGCTGTCAATCACAGCCGAAAAGAACGTTCCGAAATCTTCGGTCGGCTGCAGAGAAAGACCAACAAAGAAAATGTAAGGAACTTGGCAATGGGTTTGAACAGCGCTCCAGCGAGCTCCATATTATCTAGAGAAACTGGTCCACACCAGTCTGCAAGAGCTTGCATTTTTCTTCCTCCCTCCATCTCCCTCCTTCCTTGCAAGCTTTATCCTTTGGACTAAACATGCCAGTATTCACTAGCGTACAAAGGGCCACCCCACGTTGCCAACCAAGTCCTGAAAGTTAATTCTTAAGTCAACCCAACCAAGGAGCTCCTGCTGAATTCAGGGGTGGGGGTGGGAGGGGAAGCACCACGCCGAGAAGCAGCTTTTGGGGCAGGACCTAGCGGCCCGCGAGGGCCCCCCATTCCCAGGTGGCCACTCACGTCTCCCACTTTGATCTTCCGGTGCTCCTCCAGCAGCCCGGCTTTGATGCGAGGCCACAGAGAGTCGGGCGCGTAGAGGCGGGAACAGGCCGAACACTTCTGGCCGCCGTACTCAAAGGCAGACCGGACCGTCCCGCTCACCACGCTGGGCACGTCAGCTGAGGCGTGGACGAAGTGGAAATTCTTCCCTCCGCATTCTGAGAAAGGGAGAACGGCGTGATTGAGGAGCGCAGTGTCCAGCTCTACGTGTCTCCCTCCCAGAGCGGGGGAGGACTTTGCCCCCACCATTGGACCCCCCCAGCTTTAAGCCGTTGCAAAAACTATTAAGGACGCATGTGCACGGAGGGAATGACAGAAAGCAACTTGCAAAGGATGAGAGAGAGGCAGGGGGAGAGAATTCCCTCCTCCATTAATCCGCAGCACGTTGGGAGTTCGGGAGACCCGGGAGAAATGCAACAGGCCGGGTGCCTAGCCAGTTCCCCACCAGACTGGTGGCAGGGCACCTGGATCCTGCTGGAGGTGCCCCCTGCCCACAATGCTGGCCGACCAATGCATTTTGTAGAGATCGAAGGCCTTCTCCTTGTCAGCAAGGGAGCGTCTGGGGTCCCGGCAGTTTTATTTTAAAAGGGCTAGCCAACAATATAGGCAGGGAGACAGTCAGCACACTTCAAAGCTACCAAAAGCTCTCCTGGGTTCACGATCGAGAGGAGCTCTTCACACTACTCGCATTTCTCTGCCTTCCAGGAAAAAAAATACGAAGACGAACGCGTTCTCAGTTCTTACCCCCAGCCAGCCGTGGGAAGGTACGATACCGGTCGAGGTTCTCAGAGACCTGCTTCCAGAGATGCTTAAAGGTCCTACAAGGGAAGATGACAAAAGGCCTAAATCCCTTGGCCACCGTCCCTCAACGGCCCTCCTCACCTCTCCCGTCCCCATGTACTTAACCGATGCCAATGTCTGCAGCCACGCAAGGGCAGGGAGCGCCGCCTTTTCAAACTCACCCTGCCGTGGTCCCACTCAGCTGCCCCTGCACAGGCGGACCAAGGCTGGCTTGGGTTTGCGTGAACCCCCCTCTTCTCCTAGCACCCCTGGTCCTCCCTCCCCCCCCCTCCTGCCCCCAGCGCCACAGCCACAGAAACTTTTAAATCAGAAGATGGAATTCTTCGCAAGGAGAACGCCAGCTATTTAGTATTTCTCAAAAGCTGTGTCAGCAGCTGCTCTCTTGCTGGGGGGGGGGCTGGAAGGCCTACCCCCTCCCCGATGCTTGCAATCTCTGGCTCTGGGAAAGACGGCATGACTATTAAAACCGCCGGGCGCTATACGCGGACGCTCTCGGTGTGCCATGCTCGGCTGCTCCCTGCTCCTTAAACGGGGGTGGGGGGAGGCTCATAAATTAAAAGGCAGAGTGTGGAACTCCTGGGGTGAAGCTATTAGCATTTTTATTGTTTTGAAAAGCAAGACGTTGGTCACACTTGAAATCAAGAGAGGGAAGAGAAGGGGAGCGGCCGAGAAAGCAGGGGCGTAAAAAAACCGAACTATTTTCTTTCTGGATTGCAATCCCCGAGACGAAGACGGGCTTCTGAAACGGGGGAGAGGCGGTGAAATAATAATAATAATAATAATAATAATAATAATAAAAATAATAATATTAAAAACCGCCTGCATTGATCCAGGAAGCTTTTTCAAAACATTTCTTTGATTTATTCTGTCTGAGTCCCATCTTGACTTGACCCTTTTTGGAAAACAAAGAGGACCGAGAAGTCCTTGGGTCGAAGCTGGAGGGCCTGCTACCTCTACTTTAATTCCACGCCAGGTTTTTAGCTATTTAATTGGATTGATACGGCCTGTGGGTTGGAGGATGGCGAGCCATTAAGCCTACAGTGGTCGGTGGAACTGTGGCTCCCCCCAGCAGCACCCTTGGGACGATGGGAGCCCAGAGGACATTGGGAGGGACCCCCTTCTGTTCTAGGACTCAGTCGCACAGTGCCCAAGAGGCACGTTGGCCGTGCAACTGGTGTCGTTAAAAAGGCCAGTCCAGCATTCTGCTCCCGCTGTGGCCAGTAAGAAGGGGCTAGAAAGCTGCAAGTGGCGGGAGATGGCACATGTTAAAAATTCCCAATATTTGTAAGGGAACCAGGGTTAGGGAGGATGTGCAGGGCTTCCTCCCAGATTCCAGGCAGCAAATTGAGGATGGGGCCTCAGCGACCTCCCCACCGGCCATCTTTCCCACCCTATGACGGGCAACCCACGCTTACGGCACGCTGCCGGTGAAGTTGATGCCAGCCAAGTGCTCTGAGCTGGTCACAGTGTCACCGAACGTGGGGCCCTCGGCTGGGACGAACTGGATGACGTTGGGAGGCAGCCCGGCTTCCAGGAGGACCTGATAGACAGCGTAACTGGAGAGCATGGCCGAGTCGCTGGGTTTCCAAAGGACCACGTTGCCCTGGCAGGGAAAAGCGAGAGAGCCCTCTTCAGCTTCCTCTGGTTACAGCCCCAAGAAGGTTCTAGTCCTCATGGGGGAAAAGGAAACTTCTGGATCCTCAGAAGCATATCAGCTGGTGAGGAAGAAGCAGAGAATGTGCCGTGTTGGTGTGCATCCCTGAAACAACAGATGGGTGCCACCTATTTCCAAAGGCTATACTTGAAGGAATGAAAGGCTAGACCGGACGCGCCTCTGACCTGATCAAACTGAACTTTCTGACATACATCCAAGCTGAGGAATGAGTATTAAGTACATTAGTTGTGCTGTCGCTTTGCGGAAAATTGACCTCTACCTGCCAGGAGAGAGATGCTGAGGCTAGATGGCCCAGGTGGGGAGGAGCGGAGCCTCCACGTGCAGGGGCGCTCTACCTCTAAATTCCAGGCGCTGGGGGAAACTGCAGGAGAAGCACCGAAAGCCAAAAAGCACAAAGGTCAGGCCAGTGCAGACTCCCCGACAGGTCTAAGTGGGCCATCGAATGCAGGTCCTTGTTTCGCCTTTCACTTGTAGCTTCAGGGTTGAAAACAGATTCCCGAGTGCGGCTCAGGATGGCAGGGGAGGAAGAGAACGGATCCGCAGACACTCACCATCAACGCTGGGGCCCCGGCTAGGTTTCCTCCGATGGCAGTGAAGTTGAAGGGTGAGATCGCAGCCACAAACCCCTGTGGAAGAGGGGAGAAGGGGGGAGAGGTGACCTCACACTGATCTAGAAGGAAGGGGCAGGAAAAGGGGGGGACCTTATAAGCCCCGATCTCTGGCCTACCGCTCTGCTGCGGCTGGCCTGAGGAACATGACCCTAAGCATGGCCTCTCCCTTACAAGATGCTAGTCCTCATGCTGCAAGGGCAGGCTGGAAAAGGCATGTGTCAAAATCTCGAAGAGGAGAAAATAGGAATCGTGGGGGGGATTTCTACTTTGCTATCTTTTGGGGGGGCATCTCACGCCGGCTTTAACTTTCAGCTTCTCCCCTCACTATCAGGAGAACTCTACCTACGCAAAGTAAAAAAAAAAATGTCTGCCAAGTGTGTGATTTATGAATAACCCTTTTTACCGTCCACGCAGAAGCATGGTGGCACGGGGACTGTTTAAAATGAGAAGGGGGGTGCAAATGCTTTAAATGCAGCCATAGACGTGGGCATTCTCTCCCCCCGCTCGTTGGGGAGGCGGCTTTGGGAAGACCACGGCTTTGGTGAGGGGACCGAATGGCACACGGCACCCCAACCGAGAAGCAAAGACCTCCCGCTAATTCTCGGGAGCTGCTTTCACAGCCCCCCCGCCTGAAGGCAAAAGATGGAGGATCGAGGTACAAGTGTCGACACGGAGGGGTTTTCTCCCTACCTCCAGCCCCCGATACACCAGGCTGTTGGTGCTGGGAGGGGCGCTGATAGGCTGCTCCCCCTCCAACTCCATGGCATATTTGGCGTTGAAGCGGAAAAAGTCGACCAGCTCTGCGGCCGCATCGATTTCGGCTTGGATGACTGTTTTAGCCTGGGGGTGAGAGAGGGGAAAAGAAGCGAGTCAGGCCACGATTCCAGCAGTTTGGGGGACAGGCGAGACTTCCGACATCGCTAGCCACACTCGGGGTTAGCAACTGGCGGCCGCTAAGCCAAATCCCGCCCAAGGGAGTTTCCCCTTTGGCCCTCCCTGCTATACACAATCGCAACCCACCGCAGGGAACGTATTTCTCGCTTTAGTGTAGGCTCCCTCCGCCCGGGCCTTTTCCCAGATGTGCTGAACGAGGGCTCCTCGCTCCCCTGGAGAGTTGCAGCTCAACGGCTGCTGAATTTCCTTCCCAGCGTGGAACGGCCTGACCCTGAGCATGGCTACCCAGCTGCAATCAGAGCCAGCAACACACCTACCTGGCCGACCATGGTCTTGGCTAAGATCTCCGCCCTTCTGGGCCTGCTCAGGATGTCGGCGGCTTTGAAGAAGACCTCCGCGCGGTCCTGGATGGGCCGGAGATCCCATTCCTTCCGGGCGCCCAAAGCAGCGACTATAGCCTTATTCAGTAAGTCCTATGTTGGCAGAAAATTGGCCACCTTGAGCCGATTTGTTCCCGCAAAATACAAGAGGTTATTCAGGTCCTTTCCTGCTTCTTCACAGAGGACTTTCCCCTCCCCAAGTATTTTTGAAGGCTCCAATAATTGTGAAAATGCGGGACTCGCTGCCCCATGACGACCAGTAACTTGGGTGGCTTTAAAAACAGGTTAACCCTTAACAACTCTGTCCATCAGGGGCTATACGTTTTACTCCAACTTTTTCAAATGCCTTGGGCAGGCTTATAACCCAACTATTCACTTTTAGCAACAAAGGATGGCCCAGAGGTGACCCAAAACTTAAGTTCTGTCATCCGGTTCAGAGGCTGTTTTTGTATCACCCGGCCTTCATCGGCACTCCCTCATCTGCCGCTCTGTGTAAGTCATGCTCCTAGTTGGGAGCTTGGAAATATAATTTGGCCAGGAAGCCTCCCGAAGGAGGGTTAAATTCCACTGCACAGGGAATGAGAGAAGAAATTAAAAGAAACAGGGTGAAGCTGAATGACTGCAGTCAGGGACGGAACAGTGAGTCATTCAGACAAACAATGGCCACCCTCCCTTGTAGATGGATCTCCCTGGGGCTTACAAAGACTCCTAATTAGTACAAAATGTGCTTACAAGCACACCTCCGCTCTGAAATGATTCACACCAGCAAAAATTCCAAAAAAGTCACAGAGCAAGATGCTTGGCTCACCTTATCCGCATAGCAGTATTTGGCCACTTTGTGTAAATGGTTAAAGGGCTGAAAAAGAAGAGGAGAGGGGAAGAACAACGTGAAACATTTGATCCGCAATCTTCTGTAACAACACAGAGACAGGTTGAAGGCCTGACAAATCTGGTGGTCCTCATCCTCCGAATTTTACACAGAGGGCTACAGACATGGGGGCTGGTAAGACAGGGCTTCCATTGCAAGGAAGGGGGCCTAGTTCTGAGTAGACACTCTGTGGAACGGAATTTGGGGCAAACGCTTCTCCAGAATCAAAAACCACCTGGGCCTGTTATAAACAGAGAGGCATCCGATTATTTTTAAGCCAACTTTCCAATTACGGATGGATTTACAAAAAAAAAATGTGGCCAGTAAAATATGACCAGTACCAAACCTACCACCAAACAGGGACTTTTAGCCCTTTGGTTAAATATTGATGAACTGTGCTTTTTTAAAAACAAAAGCTAGATCCTGAGGGATTGGGAAAGGAAGAGGAATATTACTACAGCCGTTATGCCAGACTATCAGTGAAGCAGGCCCTTGCTGGCAGAACTCACCGACACCTGATACCTCACATCGGTTGTCCACACTTTCTCGCCCCCGACGACACATGGGATCTCCTCTGTCTTGCCTTTCAAGTCGTTCAGAGCCTGGAGAAGGAAGCGAGAACTTGGTAGGCATGCCAGCTCTTGCCTCATCCGTATCACACCAAATTCTTCCTCCGATCCCTAAGCGGGAATGTGCTGCACACACCTTGCCTAACCTGGAAATCATCTCATGTCACCTCTCTCTTAGTTTCCCAGTTAGGATATTTGTGTTGCTGTTCTTCACAACCAAAAGCCTGCTGTCCATCCTTCCTTCCTTCCTTCCTTGCAACTCTTTGCGCCTGAAACTACTACGTCGTTCTTCCTCGCTTCAAATCCCTCCCCAAAATCCCACTTTCCCCAAACCCCCCATCCTGGGATCTTGATCTGCCCATCGCAAGCAAGACATGACTGGACCCTGACTGGACGTACGAGCTAAGGGCAGGACCCTGCATGGATGCCACAACGAGGGCTGCTTGGCACGTTACCTTCTGGAGGGCGGCTCGCTCAGGGCTTCCAGGTTTGAAGGCCAAAATGGGTTCGTTGACCACCTTGACAGGGGCACGGTGCTGCCATCGCAGGCTGGGGGATGGGAAAAGAAAAAAACAGGCATGATTCTGCTTTATCTGAGCATCACAAGGGATCCTTGAGAAATCTGCAGGCCTTGACGAGCTAAAGTTTTATTTCTTCGGCTCCAAAGAGGGCCGCGCTGTTAAAAGAGGAAGGAGAATGGGAAAGCCACGTGTATTACCTTGAAATTCTAGGAAAAAGAAAGGACAGAAATGCAGGCAAACAAGTGTGCTAATTAAAAACAACAACAACACTGAGAGAGGATTAAACCAGGACTAAAAGAGGAGAGGGAAGTTTAAAACTTGAACCCCACATTACTTGCTTTAGGGAGTGCAAAACGCCACTGCTAAGTGGCTTTCTGTTATGTATTTTGCAACACAGGTCTTTTAACAAGTGGGGAGAAAGACAGGCATAGAAATAAAATATAAAGATTCCCTCATAACAACTTCACACAGGCATTCATACAGCTTTGCAGGTAGCAATATGGAAGCAGTTTGCCACTGTTACCTTTTGAGAGGCTTCATCACCTTCCTAGGCTATAAATAACCATGCCTGCTATCTATTTTCCCCCCAGTGACTGTTCTATTCCTCTTCCCTCCCTGTTTCCTTTTCCTTGCATGCTATGCTTCTTACATTGTAAGCCTGAGGACAGGGACACGCTACGGGTATTTACAGGCTGCGTCAGAAACTTATTTTCTGTCTGGAGTGGGGTTTAAATGTTTTAAATAAAATGAGGTTAATTGAAATTTAAAATGTGCTCTCTTGGGACTCAAGACTGTGCAAAACAGTAACTTACTGAAAGTCACCTTGCAAGTTTGATTTGAAGCAGGTCGTCCCGAATCCAAGCGTAATACCATGAGTGACTGCATTTTTTAAAAAGCTGAAAGCTGACCCACGCAATGAAATATGGAGGGTTTACTTCAAAAGAGCCCTTTCTGAGAAGGGACGGCTCTTCCTGGCTCCAACTCTCTCCTGCTTTCCAAATCTCAAGTTGGGATGTGTGGTCAGCAAAATGCACGCTCGAGGAGCTGGACTTGTGTGCCTCGGCGCAAAGTCTGACCTTCTCTGCCTCAGCAGGTTTTGGGGCATAACCTTGATTTTGAAGACCTGGAGCAAGTTGAAAGCAAAAGGCCTGAGCAAAAAATGACCAGTTGTGAAGTTCCCTTGGCTCCAGCTTCCCTTTATCTCATGAGAGGCTGATAAGGCCAAAGCCCCACTAATTCTGATAAGGCCAAAATGGAAAGTGTGTGTAGGTAAAGAGAGCACACTTTGAAAGCGCAATCAGAGGTAAACTTGGATGGCGAAGAGGAGACTGATCCGTCTGAGCCTCAAATTTAAAGCTTTCAATTTCACTGGGGCTTTCTTAACCAGATAATTTAGGAAGGATAGCTTCTGTCACTGCTTCCATGAGGGTTTTTTGGCTGTCATTTTTCCTGCACATTGGTAGCCCTAAAGGGCCAACTTTGACGGCAAAGCCAACTACGTTAAACTGAAATTGAAATGTGGAATAAATGTGCTTTGTCTTCCAGCCCCATCGGATCTGTTTCACCCAGCAAAAAGACAGAGAGAGAAAAATTTTCCACTAGATTACAACAGGGCCAGAATATTTCACCACCGTGACCAACCTGCCTTTTTTCAAGGCTGGAAGCAAAAAAGAAGAAAGGAAAACAGAAAAGGAACGAAGGGTCATTTTTTTTCCCCAAAGGAGTTGAACTTGAAGCTGGGGGAGTCAGCTTTTCTTGGGCTCAGATTGCAAAGGATTTCTGGAGAACCCAAGAAATATGGTCTCACCCCCCTCCCCAATATAGACATATGTGTGTGCGTGTAGTGTATATCTATTTATTTATTGATTTGTAGGGCAGCTGTGCTGGCTGAAACCCCAAAAGTCTGAAGGGGCAGAAGACACACCTGCCAGGTCCTCCTTGGGATGAAAATAGGGGAAGCAGCCAGTAAAGTGAGGGTGAGAGGAAGGAGGAGGAAAGAAATGCTATTATTACTATTAACAGTAATAGTAACATCAATAATATTAGCAGCAATATAGTAATAATACACGTGTCACCATAATAAAAAGGAAGGAAAATACTGTTATTTTTATTATTAATAGTAATAATAATGATATTAACAGCAATATAGTAATAATACAAATGGCATAATAATAATAATAAAAAAAAAAATGGCACCAGCATAAAGGGTAGCAAAAGGAAGGACATTTGGGGGAATTATTTCCTGATATGGGGGGATGGGGGGCGGGGCGTCCTGGAAGAGCCCGCCTCTGAGACACCCCTTGTTGGGGGGCTGCCCCCTCCGCAAAAGGCCCGCCGAGGGCAGGCCGCCCTGGGGCCCCTCAGGAGGGCCCCCCACGTGGGGG